GTTATTGAAAAGGCTTTGCAGTAATGATAAGTTAGCAGTTAGCAAGCAAGTCTACAAAATATCCCAAGAATTCGAATCAGCGCTACTCGAACCCGGACCCCCCTGGAAGTGGCTCAGTGGTCTAAAGGTACAGTTCAGGGCAGTTTTACACAGGGTGCGAAACGCAAAAAAGTTTCTTATTCTGGTCTAAATAAAGAGTGGCCTTGAAAGACGTGTTTCTTTATTTTTTTCCGCTGCTGTAAAATTAGCAACGTGTGCTTAGAGTATGGTCCATTGATGGCCAGAAGAAAAAACTGTCGAGCCAGAGAAGGAAATTTCGAAATTAGAAGAATCTTCATTGGCTTAACTTTGGAACCCATTGCGAAAAAAAGAAGTGAAAGACTACAATCATATTAGGATTGGCTATTATGAGAAGTTAAACCCTGCAATGCTATTAGGCAGGAAAATTTTAGCCCATAACAAACAGAGCTTTATGCTGATCAGCCCATAACGTTCTTCAAGGAAAACCGCGCAATTAGCTCAGTTGGACGTCTTCCGTGGGCGAGCTTGCGGTTCTTGGGCACTCGTCTTCTGTGATTAAAATTAATGGAGTTAACAATGAGTAATTTTCGTTTCACTTGTGAGGCATGCAACCAGGACCCTCATCCGTTCAACAGCAACAAGACATATATGTATACACGCTCATTCATTTTCTAAGAACGTCGGTCTAAGGCTGAACGTTCTAAGATTTTTAATTTTTGCCATTTGAGCCTGAAATGTCCTTAAAATGTTCTAAAGACGTCATTTCTGGAAACTCAATGAATTAATACGAACGTAACCACAGCTAGCCCAAGCTCACAAATGTACTCAGGTTAATTACGAAACAGTCGAAATATAAGGATTTGTATGGGAAAAACGGTTTTATTCTTAAGCCTAAAAATACGAAGGATTTTGAAGTATGACTAAAAACAAACCTACCTCGCTTCAGGTGTGTGTGTCTAAGCCGGTTTAAGGCAATTTAGGTGGTTTTAAGCCTCACTCCATATATAGAGGACAAGGCAGTGAAGCGTAAAGGTAGATTTATTTTTATTCGTACTCCCTGGTATTTTTAAGCTTAAGGTTAGTACCGTTTTTGCCATAAAAATCCTTCATTTCGCTTGTTGTGTAACCTCAATACTGCAACATGATATACGAACGATCATTTGTGAGCCTGGGCTGCCTGTGACGTGACGTGACCAGGAACTTATCAAAGCGCAAACACACTGTACAACTGAAGATGCTGTCATGTACAATGAACCATAAGTATTTGGTTATTAGAATGCAGTCATCTCGCTTTACATTTTGCCATTTTTCATACTGTTGTATCGCAAAACGTTGTTAGTTAAACTTCCTCCAACGTCCTTAGAAAAAGGTTGTTAATTACTGAAAACAAACAAACAAACAAACAAAAAACAGAAAATTTAAGCGATCCTCTGTTAAACCGTTGGTGGTACATGTTTCTAATACGCTACACCAGAGAAATTTAAAAGCGGCGTTTCACTCTGAAAACGCAGAAAATCTTTTCCGTCCACACTACGCCGGAGAAATTGAAAACGCAACAATCACCGGCCAATTGGATTTGTGTTTGTGGAAAACTCAGGAAGGGGAATATCCTAATTAAAGTGACGTCATCGTTTTCGAAAAGCTTCCTTTCAAAGAAGTAAAGCCGGCGTTTTCTAAAAATTCCGTTTTCGTGTTTCCCTGCTAGCAGAGGCTCTTTTCCTGGTTTTCGCTGACGGGAGAAAAGAGAGCATGCTCAATATAGCCTTTTTCGACCCATGGCAGAGGTCTCTTTTCTCCCGTCAGTGAACACCAGGAAAAAAAGCCTCTGCTAGCAGGGAATTTTCGTGTAGGATTGGCGTGAATGATAGGCCTAACCATAGAAATAAAGCTGTGTCTTCAAATTCCTCCGGCGTAGTGTGAAAACGTGAATCAGCAACAATCAATTATTATTATAAGAAATCAGAGGCATAGGTGACATGCTTCTGAAGAAATATAATGTGACTGTGCGATGCAGTTATGAGTTCATATGTGCCAAGTTTGATACGCTTCAACGTGACTGCGCGATGCAGTTATGAGTTCATAAGTGCTGAATCATTATTTGGCTCACGGTGTGACCGCGCGATGCGGTTCCAGTCAAAGACCCACATTTCACCCTTGTCCACCGTAGAGTCTCTACTTTCGGAATTCTACGGTAGTTGGAGTCTAAGATCTCTCGCCAGCGTTGTCTTTTCGTTTTCAGAAACTAAACCGATGCTTTTATCCCGTGAAAAGATGTCTTTATCCATCTTCATTTCCGTGGTTGGAAGATTAATCATTTCGTTTGACCAACTTCCTGTAATATTGTCCACAGAAAAATGTGAGAACGATAAGATGACAAGGAAAAACGGTTTGAGGTAAGTTGAGGGAAACAGGGCACTTTGAAGACCTTGAAGTGCTACGTTTTATTTCTCCGCCCAGAAGACAGGAAACACGTTCTCGAAACCGCATATGAAGATTTCAACAATTAAAGAACCAAACGTTCCACAGCTTAAACGTTCCACAAGTTAACAAAGCCTTCCTTGTCAAACTTTAGTAGAAGGAGAACGAAAGTTCATTTGAAATTACACGAAAAAGTTTGTGCTCACATAGTACACGCGGACACCTGGNGCCATATATGGGCTATATAGGTATGTGCCGCTGTGAAGGGTATAGTTTTCAAGCAGTTTACTCTAGGATAGGGTACATAAATCAGAGCGTTTGGGTCTACAATAGGGTATCATTTTTCTCAAAACTGACTAGTTGGTTGAAGATTTTATCTAGACTAAGGAAACCAGGAATTGCCACTCAAGAATATAAAAAAATCAAATCGGCGAGTTTAAATTTACGCAAATCAGCCTCAATAGTGTCGATAGATTGGGGGATTTGGGGAGTATACTCTAGTATAGGGTAGCAAAATTCAGCTGAACTAGCTCTGGTATAGGCTAAGGGTTCCAGGGTCCCGGCGGTGACATCCCCACCCACAAATTTCCAAAGTACCCCCCCTCCCCGGGCGCGGACAGAAATATAAAAAAGCCTTCAGCGATGGGTTACTCCACTGAGCTGGTTAAATTACTTACATGTAGTCCGCAGAGGCAAAGTTAAATACAATTGAAAATTCATTCATATGAAGGTGATATAAACCTGTTTTTCACAGCTAGTTATAAGCTGGCTTTGATGCAGTGAAAAGGTACAGCCCGAGTAAGTTTATGAATAGTGAGTGCAGTTAAGTGAGTGAGAAAATTAGCTGAATAGTAAGAATGTTAAGCAAACCGTAAATGAGTATGTACAGTGTGTAAGAAAGTCGGTTAGTAAATGAGTTAATCAAGTGCGTCAGAACAGAAAATAATTATGTGGAATAGAAAATTCTCAGTTGATTTAGCTGATTAAGATCGCGAAGTTGGCACCCTAGCGTTCATAATCAGCGCATTTACAAGACGCTATAAAGTTTCAAGTGCAACACAGTAAGGTTTACCTTGTTAGACACTGGTGCACCCTTGTTCTTGTGGACAAGACAACCACGAGTTTTTTCCTCTGTCATTGGTCCCGATGTCTCCTATGGACACCACAATCTAGCCACAGGCGGCAAGCCTACCGCACGATGAGACAGGCTTTAAAAGAAAACTAAACAACACTGATACGATTCAAGGCGCAGCCGCATAACTTTGTTAACTTACACAAATACGGAAAGCGTGTACGAGGGCTTTTGACATCGGAGTTTGTTAATGAACTACTGAACGAGTCTATAATTAACAACCAGTTCGTTAGCAAAAGTTATCTATGTTTTTTAAACCATTGAGTTTTGAGAGCATGCAATTAAAATGTCATCTTGACGCTAGAAAAGAGTTGATTGGAGCTATTTTTGGATGATTTAATAATTAAGTGGATAAATACTTAAAACCTGAGCCAAGAACTATAGGCGCTCTTACTGAAGTTAAGTTCACGACAAACGAGCCGATTATGCGAGAATCTTGACGGTAATAAAAAGAAAAAAAGAGAAACTCCCTATGTATTTTACATGTGTAAATGTGTATAGAAAAAAACTTAGTAACAGTAAACAATTGCAAAAAAAATTGTAAAAATGATAGCGAAATTTCATCAAGGTATAAAGTGATCATTTTGTTGCAAAAACGTATCGGGTTTTATATTGACAAACTGCTGTTTGTTGTCAATTTTTGGGCTTGTCGTGGCGAGCTCACAACATCTGCCGTAAAATATGACGAATATTGTGCAAAAAATATCAAATACTGATAAAATATTCAAACAATGCCAAAATCGGGCATCCCAAAGGTGCACTTGAACAGTGAGTCTCTCTGCTACAAGCACAAAATCCTCCTCATTGCGTTAAGAACTCTTTGACAATCTTGCAGATCACCTGAGGAATCTGTTAAAGTATACTGACCACTCTGAGACGCATTGGCCCATGCTATTTTTCCAGATAAAAAAAATTATAATAATCGGTGAGTAAATCTAAACCTCGGGAAAGATACATAGAGGCAAGGGTTATTTTGATCACCCAGAAGTTTTTACATGATCTGATTGCGGTGATTTTAAAGTTCCGGTTGTTTACCTGGGTTTTAACACCATTAGCTCCAGACAAATGCCTTTTTTCATGTTTTCGCTGGGAGTCCCGCGCCACTCGATTACGCGTTGATTGACATAATCCTTCCACCGCAAACATACCCCGAATACCTTCAGTTTTACATATGGCGACACAAAGGGACGATTCTCAAACTTGTTTTCTCTTAGAAAGGCCTGAAATCTTTTCTAAGTGGAGCCAAAAATCTGCATTTGTACATCACAGCACTCGAATTGGAAGAGCTACCCAGGTCGCGGGCAAAGAAGGAATTGTCCTCAAGGAAATCGCAGAAAGCGCCTTATAATTACATCGCATGTATGATCCTTGTTGATCTTATCACAAGAAAAAACACTCCAAGTTTAAATTAATAACATCGCAATGAATGGAATGGAGTAACAGTCAGTCACCCAGGGGTGGTAGGGTCGCGCTTTTGATTGAATAAATAATCAGGCGGGTGACACTTGAGGCAGTTGGATCCTGCTCACGACACTAGACACGTCTCGAAGGTATTCAAACAGCGTTTTGCTTCGGTCGCTTGGGTTTGGAGGACGATCGCAAAGCTTGTCGATATGAGGGCTGCAGTTTTGTTTGTCGTTGTATTACTGTTGTTATCAGGTAAGGGATCCTTTTCTTTCAATTAGGAATTTCAGTTAGCATTGAGTCAATTTTCGAAGAATGCGGCGCTTGAGATTCATCCCCCGATAAAGTGGTACTGTAACCTTGTATTAGAATGATAACAGAATAAGTCGTCTTTGATTTCGAGACAAAGCATCTTTCCACCCTGTGCCGGTCATATAATGTGGTGCAGTTTACAATGCAGTTGAGTTCATTTTAACCCCGTCGCGCGCGCGCGGGGAAGCCTTTAGTTATCAGCACGCTTCCTATTATTTTAAACGTTGTTCTAGCCCCTTCCTTTACACAGATTAGTGACATGTATCTCCCGATCATCTCCTGTAATTGTTTTAAAGTAGCTTTACATTACAAGAGGGAGTTTGTAACACGTGCTAGCGCCGGTGTTCTCGGGAATCGGGGCCATTTCAAGGCTCAAAGCCAATAAAAACACTCGCCATAGCTTGGATCTCTGGCGTGTACATAATTCGAAGTGCAAGCGCTTTTTTATCTGTTCGGAAATCGCGGCTTTTAGTGGCGAAATTTTTGAATTTGGGCGTTTATATGTATCCTTTTCCCATATCCTGTCCTCTGAACAATTTGTCATCTCTGCTAAATAAACCAGACGTGAAAATTAAGTCATTGAATGAATATTTACTAGATAGGTATCATAACTAAGGCGGTATCTGGAATCGGTTCTCAATGAATTGGAGGGCCATATTCGAACATGTACACCGCAAGAAACCTTCGTTGTGGCCTACCCTAGAGGACAGTTTTAACTGGAATGCCATTATTTCTTAGCGTGAAATCAACAATGGCTCCTAATGAATAATCTTTTTTTGTAATAACTAAACCAGAGATGACCAGAGATCTCCCAAAAAAAAATTACAAGCGCGCACTGATCAATTACTGCGAAATGTTTGCAGTTTCAGCATTTCCGCGACGTGTTGAAATACCGTGTTTTTGAGAGAAAACATGCAACATATATTTTTAGCTCACTTAAGTAACACGCATGAGAAAATTCGTGTGTACGTAAGTTTATTTGCTCTTGCTTCGCATATTTTCGTAAGAAAAGTTAATTGGTAATTGTTTCCTGCTTGGATGAACTTCGTAATGGGCAAATTGCGTGTCGGTAAAGCGTTACATTAATTGGATGAAATTGTTGAGATTATCCCCATTAAAGCTTGTTCGAGCCATGCGAGGGGTAGAAATCTCGAGCGTGGCACTACGAAAGCAAACAATGAAAGAGTGAGATAACACTGTCTGGAAGTCCTACACAAAGTTTTGACTATAAATGGACAAGATGAATTTATCTTTGAATCAGCAAAATCATGTTTGAGACACCTAATGCAGAAAACCTACAGTTTTTGAGCATTAATAGAAATGAAAATTACTCAAACTTAACATGATATGACTTGAAATAAAAGGCTTCACGAAGGCGGAAAGAGCATTTCAACGCGCAGGGTTGAAGCAGCTGATGGGTCAGATGAAACAATACATCTTGTCGCTACCTCTGGGAATAAATACATCTTCGTATTTAATTTGCCATTTAAGTTTGAGCTATAACTGTACATTTTTAGGAGAATCTTGTAGTATTTTGGCGAACCCCAAAGTAAATGATTCTCAAAAACATTTTCAGATCAGCTGTTCAATGTTTTTCTTCCCTCCTACGAAATTTGTAACTGTGTTCTGCGTTGCCCGCGCTCAGGACTTACTTACTAAGACTGAATTAAGACTGCCCTAAGACACTACAACTATCCCTTTAGTCCTGTTAAACCGGTTTCCTGGATTACAAGTACCGTGGGATAGTGCAGTTGGGTAACAATGAATACTTGATGAACAAACATCTATTTTAAAGCTAGGACAAAATCCAAGACAAAAGAGAATTATTTTCCATCAGAGGCTCTAGTCTTTATGTCACTATTTTCCTTTTCACGGGTTTGGTTTCGTCCAGGATTAAAACTTAAAAACACTCTTTTTTCGTCCTGCAGTTATCGAAGCGAAGAATGGAAGAAAGAAAGATAAAGGAAAAGATTGCAACAGACCGTGTAACAAGAAACTAAAACCAGTTTGTGCAAGCGACGGAAAAACCTACAGCAACTTATGTCTCTTCAACAACGCCAAGTGTAAAGCAAATAAAACTGGTGGTATTCTGAAAATAAAAGCTCAAGGACCTTGTCGGAACAAGACAGCGAAAGGCATCAAGGCAAGAGCAAAGTGCTCCGCGGGATTAGCGGATTGTGTTCAAGTCGGGAACTCCACAAAACGCTCCGTGTGTGGGAGCGACAATAAAACGTACGAGTCGTTTTGCTTCTTTCGCGTTGCAAGGTGTCAGGCCAAGCAAAAGAACAACAATTTGACCGTACTTTACAAGGGAGAGTGCGGACACCCGAAGACGAAGAAAGCAGAAACTTGCCCACTTGCAAGACAGTGCGACAATCGTGAAGATCCTATATGTGGCAGTGACAAGAAGACCTACAGAAACACTTGTGTTTTCGTCGTTGCAAAGTGTCAAGCTAAGAGGCAAAACAAAAAATTGACACTCAAGAAGAAAGGTAAGTTATACTATGCACAGTATCTATAATTTTARCGAGAAATATTTTCTTTGGTTGAGATAATCTTGTTGAAGTTCTAATTCTATTTGTTACAAAGATGAATGAAACTTGTTCTATCTAAAATATGCAAAAATGTTTTGTTGAATGTTTCCATAAAACGTTTTCACTAACCGAGAATCAGTACTAAAGTCAACCAATAGCGCATACAAGTTTATCTCGAATTAAAACGGTGAATTTAACTGATAACTTTTGAGAAAATACCGACCACATGCAGAGGTCAGAATTTTTAAAAGGTTATTAAATGCTTCTTCAAAATTTCTTCACTTGATTAAGACCGCTTTTGTCACGCAGTTCATCAAAAAAGTGACGAGGTTAAAACGCTCGCAAAAGCAAACACACACACTCAGCCACAATGTCGTATGGCTTTATAAACATGACCCAATTCAGGCAAGAGTTTTTTTCAGTTTAATTGGTTTATTGCTCATTTTATGCGGAATATAAGACGATGTAAAATGAAAGCCATTCGTGTTAAATTTCAGAAACGAGACACTCTGAATTCTCCAATCATATACGATCAATATCCAAAACCTGTTTACTCAATGCGGGAGAGTTATTTACCTAGGCTTTGGAAAAATACTCGCTATCTATTCGTGAAATCCGATAAGACGACAGCAGCTGAACTGCCGAAGAAAGTAGACTGCTTAGCATCTCTCTACTGATCTCCAACGCAAGTTGCTTGTTTAGAATTAAGAGGCAAAAATAGTGAGTACATGATACGCATGTCGAAAAAGAAAAACGGAAATAGTGGCGCCGGAAGTGTTAAATGTTTGCAGGTGTTCTTCATGAACTCAACATAACTGGGGTGCATCGCGCGTTCTCCCTTGGTAACCTCGGCTCCCCTCCTCACAAGCACCACCCGCCTTCCCCCATCCCCCGTTCATCTCCCCCCCCCAACCAACACCACCACCACCAACAACAACAATAACACACATGTTCCCAGCCTTTGAGCTCTTTGACAAACTCTTCGTTTATTTGTTGATTGATCTTTCTAAAATAACGGAAAGCGTGGCAATTTTATATGCATCGCGAAATTCCTGGTGTAAGATGATAAGAAAGTTCCAAAAATAGGTCAGGAGATTTAAAAATTTTGAAGAGTTCACGTGAATGGTAATACAGCTCAACCCCTATGAAACGGCCACCCTAGGGGAAATGGATAGGTGGCTGCTTAATTAACAGGGGCTCGACTGTAGAGGTAACAACAATAGCAAGCCCTCATAAGGATTTCTGACCGCCTTATAGGGGTGGCCGTGTAATAGGTGGTCGCTTAACAGGGGTTCAACTGTATCATTTTCTTGGAATATAAAGTTTGTTTTATTCACCACTCTCTTCTCGAAATCTCTTCAATGACGCATATTCGCTGTTTTCTAGAAATGACAGTTCGTGGATTATTGAGTAGTATCAGATAATATAATAGAAACCTCAGGCTTAAAAACCCCTCTGAAAAGTCTTCTCGGTATACAAACCTACAGGCTTAATGACCACTGGAGTGCTTGCAAAGAGCTTTTACTCCTAAAAAGCCCTCCAAATACTTCCACACTAACATTTAGTCCTAAATTAACCGTACCCTCCTCAAGTCGACCACAAGGGCCAGCCCCTTCCGAGAAGTCCATCGAAAAAGCCATATCGAGTTTAAAGGGGCGCTGGCGTCATGACCATGAAAAGTCAAAATCAAGAGGACCTATTTTCAGTGAAGGAAACCTAAAAACCTGAAAATTACTATATACTTTAAGTTCACTGATGCTAGGAAAGGAGTGTTATATCAAGGCGTGTTATTTGAGTTACACATGTACAAGGTTGTATTGTTAAATTGAAAAAGTCTGGCCATTCACCAATGCACCTGACATCTCCATTTTGGTGTTTTAGGAGAATTCCATTCAAGCGAGAACGTACTCGGTCATAACATTTGTATGTTTTGACCAAAAATGAAACAAATCTTCATGATAATCTCCCTTTGACAAGTAACCTGAAAAATATTTCATCTTATATATTCCTGCTTCTTGTACCATTGATTTAGTTTCTTCGAAAAACTGTGTAGTCCAGGTTTCGCAATGGCTATGCATAATCCCAGTAGGTAGCATTAAGGCTGGAGAGCAAAAACCATACCCTATTTATGACCAAAATGGTCAAAATCAGCTAAAATTGATACCCTGTTTATGACCAAAACAGCTGAAAAACCATACCCTTTGGGGCCGCGCATACCTATATAGCCCATATAAGGGAGTACCCCCCCCCCCCCTCGGGTTGATAGTTCGTAATAGAGGGAAATGGTTATGAAACCTTCCAAAGGTCTTTGTTGCATGTTTTTGTTGGCTATTTTGGTAGTTGATCTTGCACACAACCTGGCAAAGTACAAAAGGTGGTTATGTGCGATTATACAACTAACCAGTAGAAGCATTGCGATTGTATAAGTCATGCATGCATAGTCTATGAGCGTAAAACAAAAGATGTGCAGGGTTAAGGACCTTCCAACATAAATCTTAGCCTATTTGTTTACTTCTTTGATATATACCGGGCTTCTTAACCATGCTACGACTATGATAGCATATTGCAAACATCGAAATTTTTATTTTAGTAAGATAGACATTTATCGCTATTCTTGACAATCTGCAAATTATGGAACCAAAACGACCTTGTCCGTTTTAAGAACAGACAGGAAAAGAAATGCCTTTTCTGATTAGAAATAAATCCTAAGAATACCCGAATTGAGAACATGTGTTTACAAGAACTGATTTCATAAGAGCAGGAGGACCATACAACGCAACAGTAACTGATGCCACTTTGAAGGTTTGTGGTTTTAATTAACTGTAACCCCGTTGTCACTTACGAACCTGCTCAGACAACGTTTCTGCTGTTTCGGAGTAGTTTAATAATCTTAGAGAGAGGAGATCATTTATCGGCTGAGGAAAGCTCGTGAATAACGGAATAACTTAGGCCCCGTTCACACTGCGCTGGAGGAATTTAAAAACGCAGCTTTATTTCTACGGTTAGGCCTACCGTCTACACTAATCCGTCACGAAAACGAAGCTTTTCTTGTTTTCGTGTGGACGGAAAACACTTTGAAAACAGAGCTTTTTGAAACGATGACCTCATGAACATAAATCCAAAATGACCGGTGATTGCTGCGTTTTAAAATTCCTCCGGCGTAGTGTGGACGGAAAACATTTGATGCGTTTTCAGAGTGAAATGTTCATTTTCAAATTCCTCTGGCGTAGCGTGGATGGGGCCTGAGAGTACTGTTCTCAAATTTATGGCTTGCAGATGCAAAAGGCGAAGCGACCAATGAAGCTAACAAAAAATTCTTTTGTTATCAACATGGCGGCGATTACGTCACGTGAAAACCAAAAACATCGTACGTGTTGTAGCCAATCAGAGTGAACATGCTGTATTTTGAACCAATCAAGACAAGCTGGCCTCCCAACGTTTTCCCGCGCGAATTGGTGTCTGCATTTGTTGCACGTGGTTGTTATTTACCATAGTCAATTTGAAGTCACTCGTTAATTACTTTTATTATACGGCTGAACTGATCCGCAATGAAAAGGAGATTTCTGACTGGTTCCCTTAACGGTGTGAATTCTACAATAGGGACCGCTGAGATGGACCACTCGTGAATTAATTTCGGCGAATTGCTTATTCAATCCATTGCACAAAATAAACAGCTTTTTGTGGAGGCAGCGTGGCCTAGTGGTTAGGGCGTTGGATTTGTAATCCGGAGGTGTCGGGTTCAAATCCTCCTCCCTGCCACTGGATCGATTTGTGTTTCTCCACGCTTTGTAAATAGCCAACTGGTCAGTCTATCGCCAGATATTGTTCTTTCCACTCGAACATAAAATTCATATCTTCTCGCCACTGTGTAATATCCTCTATCTAGAGTCGAGTCAGGGACTGCTACGTGAAGATATGATGTTTATGTTACTGAAGGTAGATAACTTGATGTTATTATTAATATCTACCGTATGGCCTGGCAGATATATTTGGTTATTCCATACATGCTTACATCACATCTGCTTACTAAATAAGCA